TATCGCTACTTTTGTGTGAGAAAATGTTTTCCCAATTAGTGATCTTTCTGTTTGTTTTTAGTAATGTCTCTTTTGCAATCATATATCTTTTAAAAAACTTAAGAGGAAAGAAGAAATATATGTACATATATACATATACTTTTATATTTTACCTTGTATTTGACCATTTCTGGTGTTCTTTACTCTTTTTTATAGATCTGAGTTACCATATTGTGTCATTTCTCTTCAGTCTGGAAAACTTTCATTAGTACTTACTATTCTGAAAGTCTATTGACAAGTTTTTTTCTGATTTTAATCTAAAGAGCATGGGCTCTTTTGATAATTCTCCTTTTTAGTACAATGAATAACTCCCAACACCAATGACATGTTTCATTTTTTAGAATTAATCTTTGATGACAGTTAATACATTTTTTTCCCCTGGAATTGTCTATTCTCTTGCTTCCCACACACGCACATACACAAGTGTACACACATATACTTGCACACTCAGACACGTTTATGCATACATACCACACACACACACACAGACACCTTCTTGAATGGCTGGGAATGGAACTTGGTTCTTCTGACCTCCCATCTAAGTGTGTTCCTTTCTATGACTTTGCTTCTGTCACTGCTTTAAGAGGCATGTGTTTGTTAGAGTAACTAAAGCCTGTTGTTTCTTAGCTTTTCAAACACAAGGTTTCCTAACAGTAAATGGCCCTCTGAGGGTAAGCAGTCATGTCTGAACAGGCATTTGTTGACCTTGAGCAGGCAGCCAGTCATTTGGCAGAATGATCCTGTGCTTTTGTTTTGGAGAATAGCCACTGTGGACTTAAGCAGGTCCATTAATAGGATTTTCAAACACATTTTCTAATTCCTTTGTAAATGAATCTGTTCCAAAGTAAGCTACCAAGCAACATGAGCAGTGGGCTTAGAGAGAATCTCAGCTCTGACTCTTGATAATTGCATATCTTGGGTACAACTGTAACCTCACTGAAGCTCAAAAAGAGTGTGAAAACATTCCTTTATGACTAATAAGAGCTAAAATGTACTGACTGCTTACCATGATTAAACACTTGGTGCATATTACCTCAGTAAAACCTCCTAACAGCCCCTGTATTAAGGCTTTCTCATTATTTTCCACTTTACAGATGAAGAAGCTAAGGCACAAAAATGACTGATAATTTGTACATACATGGAAGAGCAAAACTTATACCCTGGCAGGATGGCTCCCACCTCTCAGCCTTTAACTTCACTGCTTTACTTCACAATTTCAAGGGCAGGTGCTTCTCAGTCATGGGTGTCACCAGTTATGGTGTATGTACTCATTGTATACAGTTATCATGCCTGAAATTGCCTAGTTCACAGAGATCCTGCAGACACTGAGGAACCCAAAAGATAGTACACTGTCAGTGAATAGAGTAATGTGCTCTTGTTATATGACCAGTGATCATTTAAGCTAGCACAGTAGCATAGTTCAGTATGGATTCAACATAACGTCTATGAATAACCCATGGAAAGCTTAGCTCTATCCATATGGCTCACAGAAGCTGTGGGTTGGGAGGAGCTTCTGGAAGTCTGGTGGTCAATTTCTATCAAGTCCACCAAAGATAAGAATCATGGTGATATACTGGTGATAATGGTTGAATGGCATTTTGGCCACGGGACCTAAAAATGCTCAAATTTCATTTTGGGTTAACCACAGTTAATCTGTGAGTTTCCCAATGGAACTGTAAACATGAGGGTAGTGATGGTGAAAAATAAGAGCTCCAAGTCCCATTTATTTATTAGCCTTGTAGCCATCACCCCAAATATAGTGCTCTGGTAAAGCTGCCATAGAAAGCTTTGAGACACAATAATAAGGGCTATTACTCCTCAACTTCCAACTGCACTTCCAAATCCCATGGAACATGAAGATAGGATATTTCCCAGGTGCCTGAGAGTCCTGTGAGAAGAAGACATGGGAAATACAGAGACTGGAAGCAGAGACAAGGCAGGATGGCCCAGTTCCACCCTGACTCAGCAAACTCATCTTCACAAAGCCATCTGCCTCATCCACTAAAAATATGATTTATCACACAAGAGAATGGGAGACATCCTCTTACATAGTCATAACTATGATTATCTGTGTATGTGTGTAGAAAGAGAGCATTTTGAAGACTGTAGAAATATATCAAATGGTTGTGTTTAAGGGGTAAAAGTTTAGGCCTTTTCAGTTTTTATAGAATAAGCACAGATGACCTCTACAGTAGAAAATATGCACTCAGACTCCTATCTGAAAGTGAACCAGGCCCTTAATCCAAGAACAATATCAGGTGTAATGTTAGACAGTACAAATGAAGAAATACCAGAGAGTAATGCATAAAAGTCCCTGGCTTGAAGTGATCAAAAAAGTTTACATGAAGTTGAGTCTTAAAATTGGTATTGATGCTCAGTCCTCTCTGGTGGCACAAAGGATTAAAGCACAGCACTGTGAAGCTAGCCATAGCCACTGTAGTAGAGTTCAGTCCTCAGATAGGGAGGTGACCCATAGGTGCAGCAGACCTCTCTTGACCCTCCTGCTGCTCCCCTCAGCAGTGCATTTCACTAGCTCTGTCGGGTTCTGCTCCCCAGTTTGTCTCTGCTGAATCCTCTTAGCAGCCCCCATGCCGGCCCTTCTGGCCTGTATCCCAGTTCTTGTATGCATAAATAAATAAATCTTTTAAAAAATGGTGTTGGTGGAAATTATCATTTTTGCTACACTTTGTTTACTTATGTGTTTGGTTTGCTATTTCAAGAGGTGTTGGGTGTGATTTTTTTTTTCTCTTTGGATTGAAGGTCAAGGGTCTGGAATCGGGGACTCCTTTCTTATCAGCCTCTCTCCTTCACCTTCAGTTTCTTCTGCCAGCTTGGTCATCACAGCAGCAGCCCAGTTCAGCTTTACTAATCAGCTGTATTGGCATGGTCCAGTTGCTTGTCCAAGCCTGGCTTAATGCTCTGAGTTATTTATAAGCAAAACAGCCAAATTAATATCAGGCTTTCTTTGTCCTTCTAGCTCTTCTTCAGCAAACATCTGAGGAACCTTATGTGGAGACAGATTTTAACTCCCTGGAGAAGGAATATGATGAGACAAATTGTGAAGTCAAGGTAAGATTGCTTTTCTTCTGACAGAAATTTCTGCTCTGAGAGAAGATTGCTGCCATAATTAACAAGAAACCAGTAAAACCCATCTCCCTATTTCCTACCTCATATCACCTACAGAAGACATGCCCATAGAGACACATGCACAAACCAGAGGTTTGAGAGATTTCTGCTAGAAATGACAAACTGATCATGTGTGTAGTTGTTGGTCAATATTTACTTCAGGGAAACCATACGGAAAAAAAAAGAGTAGGACAAAATCATATAGAACTACACACATGCACGCATACACCATTACATGTTGCCAAAAATAAATAATGAGAAGTAGGGGTGGAGATAGAATAGGAGGCCTAGAGGTCTGGAAGATGTTGAGCAGAACCCTAGAAGTTCTGACCACCAAACTTTTGGTTTCTTTCTTCTTCTACTGGGCTGTTTATTTAATTCAGACTCCAATCCTGGCCTGAGATGCCAGCTCCCTCTGTTTTTATGCAGGTAACTTCAGTACAAGTACTGCTAAGTAGGTGCAAGTACATACTACAATCATCTTCCTGTGCTTTTATTGTTTTATTCCCTTTACTTTTATTGTTTATGCGCCTTATTTGTTTATGTAACGAAGAACTTTCCCATACACTTGTACATTAACAGAGAAGGAAGGGAGGAAGCAGGCAGGAACAGGTGTTACCATGCTTTTGGAGTTTGGCAAACAGAGGCTGGGAAGACTTCTGCTGCTACAGACCCAGTTTGTGAGAAGTGTGCACAGAATCCACACAGTTGTGAACAACACAGATGGGAAGCATGGATATTTGTGCGCTCAGTTCCCAAATCCCAGATATAAACATCAATTGCGGACCAAATAGTGTTTCACAAGCTAGGTAGTATAATCAGGGCAATCCGTACTCTAAAATATGCGAGAAAACTAGTAAGAAAGAAGTCGATTAAAACAAAAAAGGCTTAGATGCATGTCCTTGCAACCCATGGATTAATCAAAGGACATAGGTAACGTGTGCTTTGTGGCCACTGTCCAAGACAGGTAGCCAAGATGAACAGAACAGGCATGTGACCCTGACTGATGGTTCTGACATTTTTTTGGCATTAATCCTAGAGCTCAACCATGAAAGAAAACCATAGTGAATATAGGAGAGTGAATCATAGCATTGTGATGTATGCCCCTTCTTGCCCTCAAGATCAAGTTCTGCATAGGGAGAAACCTAAAAAGCACTCATAGTTGCCACTATTAGTGTCACTGCAATGTGAATCATAACATGATTTTGTCATTATAAGAGAACTCACTTCTCTCCAGCAGGGTGATCCTTGCTGGGTTGGTTCTCAGGAGCTTGACAGGCTAATCCAGTAGGTTCTGGGGCCGTCTGGCCACCGAAGGGCCAGGCAGTTAGCTCACTGATGTCATCTGGAAAGCCCAGCAATGGAGGAGTCACAGCTGTGCTGCTGAGACTACTTTCCATGCGTCTGATCACCAGCTGTGAACCACAGTCTGATGGTTCACAGGGCCACTCTCAGCACAGCCTCTCTGGAAGCTGGAAAGAATCCAAAGGCTAATGAGAAATCCTTTTTCCTGAATGTAAAGCCACAGGATAAAGGAAGAGATAGTGACTGTAAGCGTGAAAGAACTTGTGTTCTCAAACATCTGTCAAAGTGTTTTAGTATAGCAGAGATCTTTGCAGGCTTCTGAGCAAACAGGCTCCTCCATACAAATTTTCTTACAGCAAAAAAAAGAAAAAACAAAAACCTGGAAGCTGGAAACAACAGGAAGGAGAGGTGAGGGAGGGTTGCTGCCCTCCAGAACTGTGCTGGGTGCTGGGTAGGGACCTGTCAGGCTAATATAGAGTCCAAAGTGTAGAGGACATAGCGGGTGATTTTATTAATCCCTGAGAATGTATCTTGTTAAGAGAGCGTCAGAAGAAAGAGGCGAGAAAAAGTTAGGCCCCTGTTAGCATTGTTCTTTGGTCAATAAAAAATTGACAGCACTAAAATAGTTGTTTGCTAAAATTGGGCAGTATATTCAGCCCAAGGTGATTTATAGTAAACAATTGCTATAAATCATGTGGAAACTATTCTAAACAGTGAGCCTAAACTCAGGAGGCTTCTGAGATTCATGGAGAGGACATCTTTCCAATGATTTATACAGATGCACCTTGCTTAATTTCACTCTGCATATAATTGTATTTTTTACAAATTGAAGGTTTGTGGCAACCCTTCACAAAATGGCAGCATTTTCCCAACATGTGCTCACTTTGTATTTCTTATCACATTTTGGTAATTCTCACAAAAGGTCACACTTTTCCTTATTATTACACCTGTGGTGGTGATGTGTGCTCACGATATTTGGAGTTAGTGTGTTACTGTTTGAAGCACCAGGAACCATACTCACATAAGACAATGAATTTTTTTTTTGATTGATTGATTTATGCATACAAGAACCGGAGTGCAGGCCAGAGGTGCAGGGTGGGTGGTGAGAGAATTCACCAGAGACAGAGTGGGGAACAGAACAGACAGATCTAGTGAAGTACACTGCTGAGGGGACCAGCAGGAGGGTCAGAAGAGGTCTGCTGCACCATGTGGGCCACCTCCCTGGCTGGGGATCGAACTTGTGCTGCAGTGGCTGCAGACAGCTTCACAGTGCTACAGTTTAATCCATGGTGCCATCAGGGAGAGCCTGAATTGTTTTTTAATTATTATGCTTACCTTCTTTATAAAAATGTTCTATTTATTTTCTTACATCTTTGTTAATTTTTAGACAGTTTTTGATTTCTCCCACTATAATAGCTCCCTGTGCTCCATTCCCTCAGTCTCTTGTGCTCATCCCTTTTCTGTCTTCACTCCTTCTCTCCTACACCCCCTGCTATATGCCAATGATCAATGATCAGCTTGCAAGTCTGAGACAATGAATTTAATTGATAAATGTGTGTGGGCTCTGACTACTCTACTACTTGTTGCCTGTCTCTCTCCCTGACTCAGGCTTCCCTACACCCTGAGATACAACAATGTTGAAATTAGATCAAATAATGTCCCTGTAAGTGTTCATGTGAAAAGAAGCATCATAGATTTTTCATTATAAATCAAAAACTAGAAATGACTATGCTTAGTGAAGGGTGAATCTAGAAAGTGGAGAGAGGCTGAAATCTAGGCCTCTTGTACCAAAGAGTTAGCCTAATTATGAATGCAATGGAAAAGTTCTTGAAGGATGTTAAAAGTGCTAATTGCTGTGGCACAAGGGGTTAACTCTCAGCAACCACTGCTGCATGAATTCAGTCCCCAGCCAGGGAAGTGACCCACATGGTGCAGCAGACCTCTCCTGCCTCACCCATGCTCCCCACAGCAGTGTATTTCAGTGGATCAGCTTGTTTTTCTCCCCACTCTGTCTCTGGCGAATCCTCCCACCCCTTTACCCCCTGTACCTCTGGTCTGTACCCCAATTCTTGTGTGCATAAATAAATCTTTAAAAAAAAAAGTGCTAATCCAGTGAATACATGAAGTATAAAAAGTGGAATAACCTTGTTGCTGACATAGAGAATGTTTATTTTAAGTGTCTGGACAGAAGATCAAACAGTCACAACATTCCTTTAAGCCCAAGTGAAATCCAGGGCAAAGTTCTAACCCTCTTTGACTCCATGAAGCAAGGAAGTGAGGGAACAGAGTAAGTCGGAAGCTAGCAGAGGTTGGTTGATGAGATTCAAAGAAAGCAGCCCTCTCATAAAAGGTGAGGCAGCAAGTAGATGGTATAGCAACTTATCCAGAAGATCTACCTATGATAATTGATGGAGGTGGCTACACTAACTATCAGATGCCAATGTAGACAAAACAGCCTTTTAGTAGAAGATGCTCTCTAGGGCTGTCATAGTAAGTAAGAAGTCAAAGCTTGACTTTCAAAGTTTCAAATGGCAGGCTGACTCTCTTGTTAGGGTTTAGTACAGCAGAAGACTTTAAGTTGAAGCCAGTGTTTATTTACCATTCCAAAATTCCTAGAACCCTTAAGAATTATGCTAAATCAGGCCCTCCCTGACGGCATAATGGTTTAGGATGCAGCACTGCAAGCTAGCCACAGTCGCTTCGGTGCGAGTTTGATCCCCGGCCCCAGAGGTAACCCGCATGGTGTGGCAGACCTCTCCTGACCCGCCCGCTGCTCCCTCAGCAGTGTACTTCATCGATCAACCTGCTCTGCTCCCCACTCTGTCTCTGGTGAATCCTCTCACTGCCTTTGCACCTCTGACTTGTACCGCAGTTCCATACATATAAATAATCTTAAAAAAAAAAAAAAGGAATTATGCTAAATCACCTCTGCTTGTGCCCTGTAAATGAAACAACAAAGCATGGATGACAGCACATCTGTTTACAACATAACTTACAAGATATTTTAATCCCACTATTGAGATCTACTTCTCAGAAAAAAAGATGCCTTTCAAAATAAAACTGCTCATTAACAACACTCTTCTGTTAGAGATGTACAAGAAGACCAATATTGTTTTCCTTCCTGCTAACACATCTCTTCTGTAGCCGTTGGATCAAGGAGTCATTCTGACTTTCAAGAAACAAATTTCATAAGGCTGTAGCAGTCTCCTATGGTAATTCCTCTAATGGATCTGGGTAAAGTCGATGAAAACCTTCTGGAAAGGATTTACCACTCCAACTGCCATTAGGAACACTTGTGATTCATAGAAAGAGTCAAAATACCAACATTATAAGCAATTTGGAAGAAGTTGATACCAACTCTCAGAGATGACAAAGGTTTTAAGACTTCAGTAGAGGAAATAACTGCAGATGTGGTAGAAATAGCAGAGAACTAGAATCAAAAGTGCAGCCTGAAGGTATGTCTGAATTGCTGCAACCTTATGATCAAACCTCAAGGGATGAGGAATTGTCCTTGTGGATGAGCAAAGAAAGTGAGTTTCCTGAAAGTGAATCTACTCCTATTGAAGATGCTGGGAATATTGTTGAAACCACAACAAAGGACTTACAATATTACATAAACTCCATTAATACAGCATCAT